ATCGGGAGTTTTTCAGATTTTCCCACTCTGGGACCCGTTTCCCAAAAATACCGTTTTCACACCCCGAAAACGCCATATACGCCTGGACGCGAGGCCGATACGATAAAGTATTTATCCTGATTCGAGAAAAACGTATTCGTGAGGACAGGCCCTGAGAGACCCCAGGGACTCCAGACACAGTATATGGAAGGATTAACTTTATCCAATCTTGCCTGGGAATGCTTCAGGATCCCAATAAGGAGTAGAAGATGTGGCTGTAGAGAAAAATGTCTCTGTTTAGTTCTTCCACAATGACCCCAAACCAGATAAGTGGTAAAAAATGAATGAACACGTTTCTCAACAAGTTACAAGTTATTACATTACATGACAGCCAGTAATAATTAATAAAAAGTTAATGTGACGGGATCTTTGTCTGGCAGCTTATTTTTTATGCTTGTTTATGTTTTTACATTCACAACTTTTGAATGTGCTTCTTTTATTTTGTGGGCACTGTCTCTTCTCCTCTATATGCTGTCTACCTGTCTTCATTCTGTCTGCCTGCCTGCTTTTCTTGCCTGAATGAAACTGATAGCTCGGGTTGTTTGGCCGCCTTGGGAAACACACAGGCCTCAACATTCCAAGCAATCAGCAGAAAGGCAATGCCACGTATTAGATCTCATTCTGGCTGCTATCCCTGTCTTGGTATATTTCGACACAGACAGGTTATACAGGAGTAAACCAGACATGCTCCAAAACAGCACTATTCAACCTCTTGACCAGCCCAGTTCACAAACACACACATACTCACGCAGCTAAGGGAACTGGCCATAGGCCAGTACCTGTGATGGTCAATGCAGCTTTGTTTAGCTCTGGTGTTAAATTGATTTTTAGGATCCAGGACTCTCTCCTGACATAGAGACAAAGAGAGAGAGAGGGACACATAGTGTATGGCATAACTTTCCTTCACTGACAGACTCAGTGGTGCTTGTGAGTGCAGTTTCCTCTTGTGAGTTCGTCCTCTTTGAATGAGTGTCCTTAGAAGAACGTCCTGCTCCAGCTTCTTTTCATATCCCACTATGTCTCCCTGCTTATCATCCTCCCTGTTTTTCTCAGTTTCACTCTCATTCTAAGCTGTGATTAGAAGTTACCAGACACCAAACAGTGCATCCATCTGGTCCACACGTCAACATCTGGAGAGGGTGTTGACTGCTTTGACATGGGGGAAGAGACACGCACGTCTCTCACAACTTGCAGATTAATTGTATGTGTGTGTTGTTGTTTTTGTTTGCTCTATTTGTGTTCCAGTGCATCTCGCTCAAACTCTTTCCTCCCTCCCTCTCTCTCCTCCGCTAGCAGCTAATTATTGTCCCGCTTAATTACCAGTAACACAGCAGTCCAGCCTGCTTCAGCTTTAAAGAACTATTCAGCACTCCATTCCGATACCTGATTGAACTCGGCTAAATGGAAAAGTTGTGCTGGAGAAAACGCTTTAGTCACACAACATTTTGTTTCATTTCTTTTCTAATATGTCTCCCACTGTCTGGTTACTTGAAGATAACAGACATTTGAATTTGTTTTGGGGATATCATAAAAAATAAAAATAACAGGTTTTGAAATGGAAAAAGACAGGAAGACACAAGAGGAGAACTGTTCTACGGTTTGCACACACACACACATACACACACATGCACCACTCTTGTTGAATCCATAAAGGCAATAAACCAATAGGAACATACACGTCTCCTGACCTTCAGCTCCAATTAGGCCCTGAGGAGAGATGGGTGAACTTTTCAACCTTACGTCTTGTCTATTGATACTCCAATAGTGTTGGTGTGAAGACAGGGGGATCAGCAAGTCAATATTCAAGTTCACTGTTGTGCAGGAGCTTAAGTTTCAGTTTCAGTCGCAAAACTTTAAAAGTTTGTTGACATCTCTGAAAGGAGCTCCAAGTCCCATATGGAAGAATCTCAGTTCCATTTTCCTTTCCATTCTCACATTTGATTGAAGACCGAAGACAGAAAATGATGGAAATATAAGACTATAAAACCAAGGTGGTTTTTCCACCTATACTACAGGTCATTGGAGTGTTTTCTAAAGATAAGACATTTTAACACACAGTAGAAGAGACCACACACTGTAATATAAGTGAGAGGCTGCCGTCTTAAACTTGTTTATGAAGGACAACATTGTTTCTACTTTTTATTGTGAACCAAGACCAGTAGAGCAGTATTCCTTTAGACTTTTGATCCAATGACATGATCAAAGAGATGTAATTTCACATGGATTACTTTTTTTCACACGGATTATGCAGTAGACCTTTAAGGAAAGAAGAACAATCGTACAGAAGCTACCACTGTATTTTAGAATTGTAAAAAGTGATCTAGTATAGAAAACACACATGTCAAGTATGATATGTTTTAAATGAGTAATGTTCTCCTCACTAATCAGACCCAGTGCTGTTGGAATAGCTAGGCCATGATCTCTGCTCAGTAGTGCTGCGGGGTTGTCCTGACTGTGTGTCTGCTACTGTGAGGGCATTGATTCAGCGTCCGCTGGTAAATACCAGGTCACTACACCTGCACTCCATCAGGCAGGGGTCAATCACAGCCCAATGGGGAAATGATGATAGGACAGAGTCCTTCTCTCTCTCTCTCTCTCGCTCTCTCGCTCTCTCTCTGTATAAGTGCAATTGTGTGTTGAGGTATCAAGTATGCTATCAGTGTCTTCAAGTCATTGATTGGTCCCTAGTGTTAAGACGTGGTCATTGATTCTTTGCCAGGTCACAGAGGAAACTCTTGGCTCAGCAGGAACTCTTAGGTTACTCATATGTGCACGTTTGTACACACATAGGCACACACATGCACAGTCATCCAAAGGCACACACACATTGTTTAACATTTCATGCCTGGTTGAAATAATGAACAGGAGGCATGCAAAGTAGATGGTAAAACTAGAACTCTACATTAACAGTTGGACAGTTGTAGTTCATTTATCAGGCAGCCAAATCAACAAACGTTCACTATAATTGATGCTAGGTGACCAATGATTCTCCTGCTATTAAAATCCTTAAAGTTACTAAATTTAATATTGCTATTTTGCTATTATTGCTCAAATATGGACGGTGTGGTTCTGGTATGGGAGATGCAGGCCCTCTTCTGGAGCCAGAAGAACTACCCCATGGCCATATGGTCCACAGAGGCCCACCAGGCTCAGCTCCAAATGCATGGTGAGCCTCAAAGAGATGCATATGCATCTACTGCTATGTCCACTGACCAGCAGACAAAGGCACAGGTATTCTTGGACTGAGCAGTAATTCTGCACATGGTGCTGGCTCTGAAACCAAACATATTTTCAGGGATTGTATAATCTCCTTTTCTGAAGTAGTTCACAAGGAGAGACACTGGACCCCAGATAATGTTGAGATACTTACTATGATGTTGTCAGGGAAGTTCTCTGAGCAGTTCACATCATTTGGTCTTATTATAAACTAATGGATGGGAAGGGAAAGTGTCAGCCTACCTAACCCCAGCATAAGGTATTTCATTAGAGTACTACATATAATAACACCTGAAGCCATGATCAATGATCAGCTGTATTTTTTAGGCACTCAGACTTGAGGGATCAGGAGTTTTCAGCTGATTATCACTAGTTGTAACCACCAGGCTGCCCAGAAAGGACTGTTGGTCCACAAGTACTGTGACAGATTTCTGAATTGTGATTTGTAGATGATGAAAAGAGATGGAGCAAGTGCAGTCCTATTTGGACACAACCTGACCTTAGAGCCCTTAGTATGACTAAGCAGAAGCAGGACCTTCAGATCTAGAGGAACCTCCACACGGACGAGTAACTGTGCTTTAGTATGTAAAGCCATCAGTCTCCTTTGCATGCATCCCACAGAAGATCTCATTCAGTGGTTGTCTCTGCACAAGAGGACGTTATACAACCAGGAGATTACATGCATTTTCTTTATCCAACACACATCTACAGCTTGGCCAGAGCTTCTTTAAATAAAGGGGAAGAGACTTGCTGTCACAGGTAGTAATGCACTTGTCAAACTTGCACACTGTCAGTCGAACATTGATAACACACCGACATTAGTGAGAGCACACCCCAGGCCACCCTAGCCTCAGACTATGCACTGAGGGGACAGCTTGTTATCATCTGCTTGGCAACACTGCGCTGGGCCATTATTGACCAGCTGCATCAAGTTATTGCCCTCAAACTGTAAGTTTGAGTATTGGAAAACAGACAAGTGGGATGCCATGGTCATACAGCCTACACCCATGGGGTCCTTGTTCAAAAAGCCGGCAACCTGACAGACTGCCTGTGACAGAAAGATGGGAAAAAGGGTCTTCACAGCCAACTTAGCTGCTCTTTTAATTGGTCTTCATGAATATTTAATGAAATCATGATGGAATTGAATCCTGTTTTTTAACTGCTATGAGAAAAAGTGGTGGCATAGCATGAAATGACTTGGTGCATGTCTATATGGCCATATGCATATAGTAGGTGGGTGTGTGACTGCATACAGCATCAGCAACGTGCATTATCTGTACATGCCTGATGTTGTGCACATTATCAGATTACTGCAGTCCACAGTCCAATAAAGGCACCAGCAGGGAGGACTGTGCGCCCTGTGCAGGTGGCCGTGGCTGTCCTCCCCCTCCGCTCAAGAGGAAGCTGCTCTCTGCTCTCAGAAGGAATAAATCTTTTATTTGGTTTGTTGTATTTTTAACCAAGGGCTCCTGGTCACGCAACAAAGCCCTGCTCGCCATCCCCTCTGCTCCCTTACTCTCTCTCCTCCTCTCAGCACCACAACACACATTAACTGACACTGTCATGCAAGTGGAGACATGATCACATTTCTATTGGCAAATTTTTTAAGGAAACAAACTAATCAGGTTTTTTTTCTTATATTAATAAGTCTAAGTCTAATCTTTATTGTGTTCATTATTTTTCATATATTACTCAAAGATGTGTAATGTATTCATATGGAAATGTATAAATCTTGAACTACTTACATTTTGTGGTTTTAGGAAGCCTTACATGAACACCTGTATTCCTCTGACATTATGATGTACTTGATCTTAGTCGGCTAGACAGCCACACCCAAACATAACCTAAAAAGCTCATCCCATTAGCTCATTCTTACCTCACCTCCCCTCTTTGTTACCAAGGGACGATGACTAAGATGCAGTCAGACACACAGACTGGGGTGCTACAGATCAGTCCAGGCATTGTCTGTGTGTGTGTGTGTGTGTGTGTGTGTGTGTGTGTGTGTGTGTGTGTGTGTGTGTGTAGTAGTGATGGTGGGGGTTTAGCTGTGTGAGTATACACAGAAGCGAAAGTAGTGACTCAGATGAGATGCCAGATGAGGTAGACAGCAGAGATGAGATGAGAGGACCAAAGAAAAATGGAAGATGAGTCAGGCTGTTTACAACAATTCTCTCACTCACAACCCTATCAACCATCGACCCTTGCCCTGACCCCGGATATATGATAGGGTGATGTTTGTGAGTGTGTTTGTGTGTGTGTGAGTGTGTTTATGATTCACAGGGGACAGCAGAGGGGACTGGATACAGATGCTTGTTTCCTGTATGTGACCTCATCAAGAGAGCAGAAGGGTAAAACCAGGACCACAGCACACAGCAATAATTAATGCACTTGCCAAGCTGTAATGTCAACGTTGCATTTAGACAAAACCAGCTAGTAACCCAACATGCTCATATTAAGCGATGTTCATTCCATAAAGCAGCTATAATTTTTATAGTAAAGTCCCCCTCTACTCAAAAACATGCTTTTACAGTCGGATGTTTGAGCTTCACTGTGCAGAATGATGTATGTGCAGAGTTTGACACTAGAAGGATCTTTTCACATTAATCTGCTGAAAGTGGAAAGTTTCTCTGTGCTCGCTGAAAATCTGATGTTTAAGAGGCGGGGCCTAAGAGCATGATTTGTGACATCATAAATAATTTGGAGGTCACTCCTGGACCAGTATTCAATTTATACAAGTCTGATGTAGAAACTTGAGGGCACCAGTGCACATACACTGAGAATGGACTTTCTAGTGAAGTAGGAGACATCTTGTGTCCAGCAGGAAAACCTGAAAACTAATACAATTTTTATATTCATAGATTCTGGGATTGAGGTAGATGTAGATGCCTTTTTAAGGATTTTAATGAGGAATTTGTAATTTTATATGCAGAAAATATGTATCAGACACACATTATTGCTCCAAGCAGATTATTTATGTCTATATTAGAGTAAATATTGGACACTGTGGAAGTATCAACTTATTGTGTCAATGTTATGTTTATAGCTTGTTTCCACCTCCACCAAGTGACAAAAAAATTGTTTCACCTTGGGATTCAGCTTGTACTTGATCACGGTGGTAGTGGTCATTGCGATTAATTAATTAATTAAATAATAACTTAATGCTACTATTAGTTCTACTAATTGTAATAACACTACTGCTACTACTACTACTACTAATAATAATAATAATAATAATAATACTAACAATAATAAACCTTGATACACAATATGTTTCCCTGCTAACGGAGGTTCACTTTGATAGTATTACCATTCCACAGCTACAAAATTATTTAAAAAAAACTGAAAACTGTGCCCTTAGTTGGATGATGGCTGTGTCAGTGTAATTTAGCCACATTGGCTTTAAATTAATTTGAAATGAGCTACAAAATGATGGTTAGGATTTTAGTTACTCCCCCCCTCCCTTCCCCGATGGCTCCTCTGCCTCTTCTCTCCTTCGGCTTCCTCAGTCTCTCTTTTCTCTGTGATAACAATCAGCAAATACGAAAAGTAAATTCTGGAGGAAATGTTGGCAAATGGGTTTTTGGTAGATTGTGCATGAATATTTAATTTTGTCATAAAGTAGGGGTTTAGTGCATTAATGGCTTTTCCACTACTGTCACTCCATTTGACCCCCACCCCCTCTCCCTATCCCACCCCCCACCAAGATTAGGACGGTGGCACAGTCTGCTCTCTGGTCTGCTGATTGGTTCTGGTAATGACCATATTTATACTGATTAAAATATTATAGATTTCTTTAGGGGGTTGGCGGTTGTTAAACTTATATATATTAGAAGACTATTTATTAAATAAGAAAGTGTATTTTCTAGTAATATTAGACGGACTAATAGAAACAAATAACAAGAGAATCTCATAAAGACATTTAGAGAAACTGAGTAGTTTGTCTTTGAGTCAGAATATCAATTTTTATATTGGTTTAAAGTCTTTGCAAAATTGCATCTTTCTACTTATGTAGGTAAAGATCGAACTTTATCAGCACCTGCACTCATAAAACATCCAAGTATAGATGCAAGCTTCTTGGTCAGCTTACATGCCTAGAAAAATAAAACTTAATTATGTTCTCATAAAACACTGTAGCTATTTTAAGATGATCCGGGACTCCAGTCCGTTGGTCCGTATCAGTATTGTTTACTGTGCTGCTGGCCACAGAGCCCCAGAGTCCACGCTGGCCGGCTAGACTACCGTGACAGCTGGAGTGGCCGTCACCTCTGGCTCCGAACTGCTTCCTTGTTTTTTGACCTAATAACACTTTAACTGGCAGGTCCAGTCTATATTCACCTGTGGTAAACATCTGTGTACCTGAGCCAGATAGGCTTTTGCAAATAATGATTTAACCTTCTTGGAGTTGCATACAAGTGTGGCCTACTGCATCAGGTCAGTCCAATTAGTTAAGCTGTCAACCATAAAAAAGTAGAATTTAAGATACTGACAATTTTTCCCTCGTGTGGTGAACCCTGGGCAAACCTGGTTATTTACCAAATCAATCATTTAGTCATTAATAAATACTCACTGCAGTTGGTTTAATCTGTTACAGTATGTGTTGTGTCATTATGGTAGTGAGGGCAGCGGCCAGCTACTCTGAGGCTGTGCTGGCTTCAACCAGGGTGTGATCCCTCAGCTCTTGGCTGTGTTTGATAAAGATTAATTCAATCCTATTTTCTGCCCTGAAATGCTTTTGCTAATGTAATTCTCTCTGTGTCAGATTCCCCGCTCTCTCTCTTTGTGTGTGTGTGTCTGTGTCTCTCTCCCTCCTAAGGAACACTAAGCACCTTATCCATGTTAAGGACTAACAAAAGCAGCAGGAAGAGAGAGCAGTCGTAGCGTTGTAATTCTCTACCACAGATTCATTATCTGTGTATAAGTACTGGCAGGCTGAATGGTGCTCGCACTTTTCATCTGCTGGTTGCAGATTGTGTGAGTGTTAGCATGTGTGCATCATTGTGTCTGTGTGTATATAAAAAGACTCTTTGAGAATGGAAATTCCCTCAGGTTTAGAAGTTCCTCGGTATGTTCTGTACATATATGTGTTTCCCTGATCCCATACATCCAGGACCTTTTATATTCTTACCATAATCTTAAATGAGAAATCATTTTCAAATTAGGCTAAGTCTACCATAGTGTCACTTGCAGAGAACTGGGGAGCCAGTAGAGGGTGCTACACAATCCAAGAGATTAATTAAATCAACCTTTCTGTTAAAACAGATCAGTTACACTTCCAGAAAGTTTGGATCTCTATTTGCTTGTATTATTTATTATATAATTATTAATTAATGTATTATTAATGTATCATGTAACTGTAGTGTGCTATTTATTTATGTCGCCTACAGTGTCCTTTACAAGATATGAAAAATACACAGAAAAATACCTGTGTATAAGTAGAAACATTAAAAACAAAATCTGGGGAAAAAAATTTAATAGGAAATAATTAATAAATGATAAATAAGTAAAACAGTAAAAATAACTCAGTAATTAGTTATTGCTGTACAGAAAAACTGTACAAAGTAGAATTTGCTGAATAAATCTCAGTGTACATGTTTCTACTATACACAAACATATGTGATATGGTATTTTCTGATGTAGTTAAGGGTTCTTATCAAGTCTTTACCCCCTGTACTGCAGCAGTGAGAAGAACCAGAGGTGTTAATGTTTCTCTGATGTTATTGATTCCTGCTGCAGCTCCATATCTGACTGACTGTAGAGTCTCCACAGGTTGTAGTAGCAGAGTGTGAGTGGATGTGGATGTATGTGAGGCTTGTAGGTTGGGGGGTGGAGGCTATGTGCGTGTTAATCCGTGTGTGAGTGAGTGTTTGAGTAGTGGTGGACCGTTATGATCTCAGCTTGCTGTCTTGTTGCTGTGTCTCATGTTGTCACAGTGACCTCTACTGCTTACATGGTCAGCCACCCCGGCTTCCATCCATACCTCCTCCACCACACTCAATGCACTAGAGACATATCTTTGCAGGTAACCTACAGTCAGTACTGTGCTGGTGCACATATTGTACTCAATTTAAAATAAGCAAATAAACCTACTTATCTAACATGTTACTGGAACATCTTCCTACTAAGGGTGTTTCTTTCCTGGCTCCTCTATGCTGGAGTGACCTTCCCTCAGTCACAGCACAAGAAACAAACTCCAAAAAGCCCCTAACACCCTTTCTGCATTTAAATACATTTTTAAGGATACAGGTGTTACATTTAAATTTAAATCAATAAAAAAAATGAAATTCATGTACATGCATGAAAGTGTCAAGAATTCAGTATTGCTTTTAAATCATGCATTATTATGTTCTCTTAAACAACTTTAAAAGTCCAGTGTGTGACATTTAGGAAGATCTATTGGCAGAAATGGAATATAATATTATTCTACTTCTAATTCATATTTTCATTCATAGATAACCACCTGAATATAGGAATCGCTGTGTTTCAACCTGTGGTTAACACTGCCCACGTCTGCAGCATGTTACGGAACGCCTTGAGTTTTATTTGGGCGCCTATGTTAACAGATTAGAGTAGTCACACCTGCTCTCAGTGTAAACACTGCGTGCGTGCCAGACCCAGCCGTCACGCCCTTTAGACGCCACATGCTACTCGGGCAGCCTATGTGAACGAGCCGTTAAAATGAGACTTATCTACAAATGCCGTGGGTCGCACTTCACGGCCTGTTCTTAGTCCCAGGTTGTCAAATACAGACACCAGTAGTGTTCAGTTAGTCGCAATCTGCAACCTCACCACTAGATGCCACTAAATCCTACACGCTGCACCTTTAAAGGAGCACTCTGATTATACATATCAGAGTCAATTTGGAGAGTAACTAGAGATATTAGGATATCTTGGCCTTGGATGCCTAGATTTGGCCATTCTTCTTTAAGTTTAAGTTTGTCCCCCCCAGTTTATGGAAATACTAAATCACTTTAATGCTATATACAGGAAGAACTCAAATAAAACGAACATAACCTATAAAGATATTTTGCTTCTTACTTTTAGCTCTATCCTGAGCTCTCTCACTAGATTCTTTATTAGATGATAGAAAAATTGTCAGAGCACTATTACTCTTACTACTATTCTTTACTATTACTACAACTTGTATTTGAAGTTATTTTATCGTTGCACCCCACTCAGATAGTATATGAAGTCACTTTGAGTAAGAGCATCTGCTAAATACTAAAATAAGTGTTTAGTAGCCTGTCAGAGGGCTCCACTCCAGGCAGCACTGTAGTATGTGAGGAGAGAAGGAGCATGCTGAGGGTCTCTTTGCCTATACCTCTTAGCAACTGGTTAGTGGTCCTTGAATATTAATGCAGTCTGGTCCTAAAAGCAGGCTTTGGCTGTGACCTAGCTATACTGTGTCACACACACACACTCACACATACACAGAGATCCTTCATCCTTTCCCAGGATGTGAAGATCTTCTTTCCTGAGGGACTGGTAGATGAGGAGGGCTGAGATGTGTTGATTACTGCAGTGCTCAACAGTCAAGTGTGTGTGTGTGTGTGTGTGTGTGTGTGTGTGTGTGTGTGTGTGTGTGTGTGTGTGTGTGTGTGTGTGTGTGTGTGTAGAAAGGCAGCAGGTTAAAGAGAGGGGTAGCCAGCTAGCACCTCCTCTAGACTCCTTTTCCTGCTGCTGGAGACATCAAGTGTAAAATTGCACACTCTTTCAAACATGCTTCATCAAAACCCATGAGGTCACACACACACACAGAGTTTTGGGAAAGCTACTTATAGTTATACAAGCTTGTAGATTCTTCACATTGGATGTTGAATTCCACCAACTACATTTGGAAGAAGAATCTCAGACATTTTTGTTAAGTCTAGAGTCTAATATTAACAAGTTGAATGCACATTTTTAAAATTTAAATAAAAGAATAGCTGTCATACAGGTACAACACGGTATATCTTAAAATGACAACAACAACAACAACAACAACAAAAGAATTATACATAAATATATGTAATGCCCATACATTAATGAAATGTAACTACAATCAAGCTAGTGCAAACTGCTAGTACTATAAAGCAACTAGACCAATATGGTACATGTGAGATTGATAGACTTTCTACAAGACAGCAACATAATTATAGGTAATTACAGATAATCACCGATCATTTTATGACATTTGTCTAACTTTCTTCTCTCCTTTTCTTCCAGCAACAACGGCGTCTAGACCTTTTAACTATCACCAACTCAGGTAAGTCCCTGCGATCTTATGACTTCCCTTCTGCTCACAGTCCACCTCTCTACTTCAACACTCCACCACTGATGAAACTACACTGCTCCCATAGGAAGCTCAGTATCAGTGTACTTGATTTGATAGAGACGTGCCAGTAAGGCACCCAGTGTGTTTTCCTCTAACCCACTTCTAGATGCTAAAAGGGTTACAAGTTGTTTCTGGATGCTGCTTTCATACACAAACAAATAGCTGTCGAGTTAGTGTCTGCACAGACAAGCGCAGACAGGGTGCTTGTGCTGTGGAAAACCCTGGAGCACAGCACTGCTGATTTGATGGCTGCTGGTCAGTTACTTGAGCAACTCTATGCATGTTAAAGGGACATTGTGTAGTGTTTTAAGTATTTTATTAGCTAAAATCAATGTCTTCATTCATAAATGTGTCCTCATTGGTGTAAAATTACCTCTGCCAATGATCTGACTTACCCTCGTAAGTGAAGAATTTCTTATCTGTATGTACATTGGACGGGCAAATCCATGGAGGCTTCCATGTCGTTCCGCCAACGGAGAAGTTAGTGAGCAACGGAGAAGTTAGTGAGAGGCGCTTGTCACTGCCCCGGGAAAATTTGAAAGTCTGCACTGCCGAGCCACAGGAGAAGGAATCCTCGTCTCCAAAAAAGCAAATAGGGGAATTAAAAAGGCAATGTGACCGGCGAATTCAAAAAACGAGGGTAAACATTGGGGTAGCTTTTCCCAGGTGGAAAGAGCTAATGAAGGAGAAAGACTTTCAAAGGGACGCTGAAGTTGCCTGCTTTCTCCTCGACAGGTAGGCTTCTTGGTACATAACGGCTACCGTAGTTGCAATACGCATTTGAAAACGCAAGGCACTAGAGAGCACTATTTGTTTGAATGCAAAATACAATTTCACCGCTAGATGGGAGAAATTCCTACACAATGTCCCTTTAAGGGATTCTGTCTTAGGATGTGATGTATTAAATGTCAAAGAAGTATTGCCTTTGAGCTTTTATAATGGGATATAATGCGGAACTCATGAATTCAGTTGTAGTCACGCAAGTCATTTGGGCGAACATGTGCCCCCAGGCGTGTGCACCGTACGTGTGCATACATTCTTCTATGTGTTTGTGTGTGTTGTAGGAGCAGGTTTTGTAGCATATGGGAGACTCTGTTCTCATTTTGGGATTGTGAAGAGATTAGTCAATAGGTCAGATAACTGTCTAACAGTAATTGTGGACTGTCATAATACTTCTGTGACAGAATACAATTGTACTAATGTCACTTCTGGTGTGAGATTTGTTGATATTTGTTCACATTTACTTTCATTATCACACTCTGATGGTATTTGGACTCATGGTTATTAAACTATGTTGACATGAAAAACACTGGGTTAGAATTTCTATCTAGTTTAAATGTTTCAGTAATTTTTAAAGCAAATATTTATTGATTCCAGCTCATGAGGATTTACTGTTCTTCATCTTATATGATAGTAAATGAAATATGTTTCTGTTTTGACTGCTGCAAAAGCAAAGCAGTTTATGGACGTCACTCTGGGAAATTGTGATTGATGTTTTTCAAACTGTGGCTCCGGAGCCTTACGAGGCTCTTTAGCCCCTCTCCTGAGGCTTGGACACAAAATTCTAAATTAATCTAAATTTTCTTTTTTCTTTTTTTTTTTTTTACATTTTACGTGATTCTTCCATTCTCCAATTCTAAAAATGTGTAGCCATTACACACCCAATAAAAAAAGGGTCATACAAGGGTCTGACCTGGTGCTTTTTCCTATATATTTTGCCAAACCTAAATAGCAGTCCCTACTGATCTTGAGTCTCCCTAAGCTAGTTATGTGTTCAATTCAATTTTCGGTTCAATCTTATTTGTATAGCGCCAAATCATAACAGAAGTTATCTCAGGACACTTTTCAAATCCAGCAGGTCTAGACTGTACTCCACAAAAACTTTTTAAAAAGACCGAAAAGTTTCCACCATGAGCAAGCACTTGGTGACAGAGGCAAGGAAAAATGTCCTTTTAAGAAGCCGTCTGCCTCAACCAGAGAGGAAGAGAGAGGGGTAGAGGGGGGAGGGCATGGGTGGTAGAGAGAGATTGAGAGAGAGACAGAGATGCAATAATAATGTTGATTATGATGACAGGTAGGATAACATCCATAATAATGGTGATAATAATAAGAATAATTTTAGCAATGGGGTTCAAGCAGGACCATGTCAGCAGGCACAGCCACAACAAATCAAATTTAAAAAAAGAAAAGTCTTGGATTAAAATGGAAAATTGAATAGTGTGTGTACATATTTGTTGACACTTATACACTACTGAAACACTGTATTACTGTACTGTTTAAGATTACATTTAATTTTCAGTTTGCACATGAGAGGTAAAATATGTCTGCAGTTTGGGCAAAGTAGTTTGAATAGTGTCCAAAACGCACCTCAAACTCGTAACATGTACCAGCCAGACACACATATGGTGCTCCAAGTTTGACTGGATGTGGAAACATGTCACAAAGTAGTTGCACTGTTAGAAATCTATGCCAGTCTCTTAGTATAGAGCGGCAGCTGTGAGAACGAGGGATCCACTGAGATGGAAAGCAAGGAGAAATTCGAAGAACGGGGGAGGAGAAACAGATGGGGACGGCAAGAAGGATACAGAGACCCATATGTCTAAAGTATCTGGATGATCTAATATGCTTTGATTAGAATAATGCATATGTGAGGCTCATGGAGACTGGGTTAATTTAGCAGGTTTACGTTGCAGCTGTTCCTCAGGCCCTGGGCAGAGGCAAGACTCGCCCCTGGCCATCACAGTTTGACAGAGGGCAACGAGAGAGAGAGAAAGGGCTGGGAGGAAAGGAGAGACTTTGTAACAACACTTTCATGGTCTTCATGTGTTCCTGGTGGGTTTGTGAGGAACTGTCGCCCAATCCATGTCCTCCAGTTTCTTATCTTTGGTGTTTTTATGTTTATTAGAGTACTGTTTAAATGTGCCATGTTTACAGAAACAACTATACAGGTGCTATTACTAAGTAATACACCATCATACTATGTTATAGACCTACACAAAGTGATTTAAAGGGAAATGATTATCATTTTTCAGTGGGTGTTTTTTCTCGTGTGGAATAGACTTTTATTTTATCTTCCATCAATATACACTTGAAGCCTTATGTGATTACAGTCAGTGCCAAGTCCTCTTTGGTAAATCTCATACTGGTTTTCCACCACAGGTTTGGTAAGGTTCTTTTCTTTGCAGATCCTCTCAAACTCAGACAAATTGGGGAGCACAATTCTGTAGGATAATGTCCAGTCTTAAGCCACTAAAGAAAGACTACTGAAGTCTCTCGACTGTTTGTCTGTAGTTTGGTTTAAGTTTTGGTTATGATGTGGACTTTCACACCAATCTGAGTTCATTTGAGCTGTAGAGCAGGTTTCTTGTGCAGGATATAATTCCCTCAGTCCTGACATGTCTCCCAATTCCTGCCTCTGATCATTATCATGTAGGATCATGTTTCCATCACCATGTTTCATGTTTTAGGCATTCCAAGTTTACCTGGTTTTTGTCTCATTAGAGCAGAGGCTAGTTTTCCTAATGCTTTGAGTTTGTTAAACTCCAGGTGGGCTGTCAGATGTTATATACTGAGAACCGACTCTGGTCTGGGGAGTACTGCAGAGATGTTTGTCTTTCTGCGGGGTTCCCCTGTCTCTTAAGAAAAAACCTGAATCTATTTTAGATTGGTCCATTGCACTTTGCATCTGAAACTCAAACTGGAAGCTGCCTGGGAAACATTGGTAAGTTTCTGACAAACTCCACCAAAATCAAGTTAATGATTTTCAGGACTTTTTTACAAACCGCTGGGTACATCGTTGTGTAAACCCAGACTCTGTCTTTCCCGTCACTGCTTTTGTTCTGCTTTTGGTTGTGTTCCTGTTTTCTTCCATTTAAGCAACTGTCTATTTATAGGTCTGTGTAGGGCCTCATTATAGGCATGGTGTCTAAATTGTTAGCTAAAAAATTTAAATTAAATCTTATACAAAAGAAAAGTAAAGAGATCTGATATTTTTAAAAGCTACTGTACTCACCAAGGTTATTTTAATCTTTTTTTGTTGGTTCGCCAGTATGCAGCCGCAAACTCAAGCACTCCAGCAAGTATTTTCTATTGCAACAAAGTTTTACCCAGGAGATAATACAATAATATAATAATATATAAAAGTAATAACAATATAATAAATAATAATATAATAAAATTATACTATTACCATCACTGTAGCATCCCATAGAATTAATCTTAATATAGTTTAAACTTTCTTTTAAACTTTGCATCTCCCTCTTTGGCTAAGCTTACAGTATATCCCAGTGGACACAAAACTACCCTCCAGTCTACACTCATGCAGGGGCCCTAGATAGACTGAAATAGCTTTCAATTATTAGGTTTCTTCCTCTGACCAATGTAGAGCTCAGTTTGCTGTGTAAATTATTGCAGGTCATTATTCAGGCTGTTGTTACGTGTGGCCTTGAAGGGAAGTCTATTATATTCTTAACTTGGCAGACATATTTTATCCTGCCCTGCTGCTTATTACTATTCACAGGAGGTGAGCGGACATGCACACACACACACACACACACACACACACACACACACACACACACACACACACACACACACACTGAACATGGTGAAGGTTATTATGATGGCTGTATGAAGAGCAGGTGAGGCTTTCAGATGAATGACTCTGATAGGGAAACACAGGCAGGACACCCTCTCCTTCTCCCTGCAGATTAAAAGGAGTTTCCGCTCCTTCGCTCCCTTTCTCCTTGTCATCCTCTCACGTGCCTCTTTCTCTCTCTGCTACTTCTTCCTCTGCTCGTTTATATGTAGCATCTTTCGTTATCTGCAGTTGTTTTATTAGTGGTCTTATTTTATCACAATGCCTTTGTCCTCTTGCTCTGACCCTTTTTCGTGTTGTATTATTCCCTCCTCCCTTTATCCTTCATTCACCTCTCTTCATCTCGTCTTCATAGCATGGACAGCAGGAGGAATCACAGGGTGGGAACAAACTAATAGGCTCAAGTGGCTTCATAACATGCTGCGTGTGTGTGAGAGAGAAAGAGATTTGATAAGGATTCTGCCCCTGCTGCTCTGTTGGCCTCTGTCTCTGATGGCGTTCATTAGCTACTCTGAAGAGTGATTCACACACGTAATTGAGTGTATAAATATCTATATATGTATATATATATTTTTTTTTTTACATGTGTTTCTGATATATACACACAATGGAGGAAAAAACTACAAAAAAACACGCAGTATCTCTTTACTCTCTTTCTCATTTCACACACACATGCACACTCACTCCCACACACAGACCCACTCAAACCTCACTCGGCCCTCTTTAATTGGACACTTGAGCAGCGCACGGCTGCATCTGGCTCCTGTTGAACACAGCCTGACATTTCAGACTGCTGACCTTTCCAGCCCCGCCACAACTAAATAATGATTAGTCCTGGCAACTGTTCCACCACAGCAGCAGCCAGGTACACCCACATGCACATGAGCATGTACAGATACTGCACACACACACACACACACACACACACAGGTGCAAACAGCACAAAACAGAACAACAAAAACACCTGCACTGAAGGCTTTGTCTTTTCACAGTGAGAAAATGGGGTGCAGACATTGATTTGAGAGGCCATTGTCATTCTTTTAGCTTATCGATTAGATTGTCCTTTTCCATATCTGCAGTCAGCACCCAATAATGTGTTGTTCCAAATTAACTCTGCTTGCCTCTGTTTAGTTTCTCCTTTCCCCTTTATGCGCTCTCAGCATTACAGTGGAAAAAAGGTCAATCATATTCATGAGATCTGGGCAGATTTGAGAGGATGGTTGTGTGTGTTTGTGTGTGTGTATGTGTGTGTGTGTGTGTGTGTGTGTGTCTGTACTTGTGCACACACTTTAACGTCTGTGCACAGATGTGTGTGCCGTGTGTGTCTAAAGCAATGAAGCAGTGTGGAGATAATAGGCAGTTCTCAGATCTCTCCCCTCACTTTCTTCTTTTTTCACTCTATCACTTCTCTCTTTGTATCTCCATTTCCCTGCTGTTTCTGTCAGAACAGAATAGAAATGTTCTTCATTAGAGCCTCTCTTTCTACAGATATTCTTTGTGTTTCCTGCTTTGCTCGCTCCAGACTGTACATATCTCTGAGGTCAGAGGTCAGGTTTTGCGCAGCCAGCTGCTCAATGTGTCTGAATCTTTCATTCTCGTTAGTGTGTAGAAATGTAGATTTAGCATGTGAGAGGCATGAGTATGCGTACAAAATATACATACAATTATTAACTATGGTACAATCATAATTAGCCTTCTTGTTTCCATGGATACAGGACCTATTATTTAAATAAAATCACAGACATCAAAGCAGGAAAGCAGCAGCTCACGTCGACAAATTAAAATTTCAATGTATATTTTGAAGAGTCCAGTGGGGTATTCAGAAGATACTTACATAGTACACAGAATGCACTAACAATTAAAGCACAGACACACTGTAAAATCTAAAATATCTTCCCAAATCCCAATTTTTTCCTATCAGTATAGCCAACATAACTGATATATTATTGAGCTATAAAATGACCTATAAGTCGAAGTAAACAGCCACGAAGCCATTGGAGGTCAAGTTATGACTTTATTTTCTAGAAATAAGGTAGAAATTTCTGATCTATTTCACACTTTCACCAGTACAGTAGACATGAAATGAGGTTTCTTACTAGAATGGCACGTTCAGTTGCTCAAATTGCCAAGAGGAGCAACAGTTAATAAAACAAACACACCATTAGGAGAATAAGGAGCCGTAGCTGTTGATAGCCTGTCTACCTACCAAACTTATTAAGGTCAACTGAAACAAGACAAGCACTAGCCTCTAAACTTTATGGAGAAAACTAATACTAAAAACTTTTTTTTTAGTTCTCATTTTATGTGCAGGGAAGTTTTAGGCTCCTTGCTCCTCTCTGCTCTCTTAGGAAGTACCGGCATTAACAGTGCCTTTTACCATTTGCATAACACGTGTCAGAAAACGGGGATTACTTTGAACTAAATTGTCTGCAGTGTGAATGTAGGGTCAACAGAGTTTTCTCTAATTTACACAATGCACCAGCCTGGCCTTCTCTCAGCCATTTAATGGCTTCAATTTCTTCAGATGAAAGTCTCTGGGAAGCCATCCAAACAGTATAGTGATATATCATGTATTTATATCTTTGTTGTGGTGGTGCTATTGTTTTGACTATGATGTTTTTTTCTTGGTCCTCTTGCAAATTGCACTCATGGAGCTCTGTCATATTGGTGTAGTAAGAGTCTTACTCCTGCCTCTAAATCCTATGAAGTGCTGGCTTCATGAAACACAGGGAGATTGTTTAACCTCTTTGTGATGGTACCATTACTATTTGACTTTGAAGAAAACACGTTTGTGTCAGAACATTAATCTTTCTTTCTTTATTCTTGTAGATAAATGAAAATTGACCCCTCATGTGTAGTTTCTTTTTTGTTCAACAGTACAGACTTTCATCAGTTGATCTTTATCTACCAGACCAATCCCCCTTTGAGTAAAGCTGAAACATAAAAAAATCTACATTCATTCACTAAGCTCTCATTTCCTCCTCATTTACTCCCATCTTTCTATGAGCACACATCTTAGAGTTTAAGCAACAAAGATCTAGCCAACAAAGTAGTTGCAGTTCTGTGTGTGCACCAATCTTTAGCACCTTTTAGCCACGCTCACTGTATTTCCCTGAAATGCAAATTAGACCTTGTCACTCCTTTTAAAATAAAGAAAAGTGTTTAAACTGCATTTTCTTCAACTGGTAACACTGCACCAGGCCCTCTTTAAGTAAAATAGCCAGTGGCAGCAGTTTATCTATGTACAACAAACAGAAAACATTAAGTTTCTAAGCCAAGAAGGAATTGCTTTTGGAGCTCTTGTGCTGTCCTTAATACTTTTAGTAAGTGTGAGCTACTCTTGCAAATTATTCCTACCCCAACATCTAGTGCTTTCAGAGACTGTGTTGTTATCCAGCCTGAGTTGATTCAGAAAAAGTGGAAAGACGGATCTGAAACAGCCTGTATGCAACCTCCTGCTTAATATCCAGGCCTGTGGTACATACCTGAGCTGATAGAAATCTCTGGGTGGCTTGATCACTGCGTGGCTGACTGGCTTTCAGGCTGGAGAGCTGCAGAGAGATTTGTTTTTAGTGGAGTACAAGACTTTGCACCTTGAGGGGGGGTGGAGAGAGGCAGAAAAAAACAGAGAAGAACATTATTTATAAAAACTACTATCAGGCTTTTGTGTAAATGAGCAGCTGTGAAAACAACACTTCCTATTATTGCCCTAATTATATCCTTTCTCTGTGAATTTGCATATTTTATCTCCCTCCTCTTCATTATGGGGGACTATGCTTCCATTTTGATGTGGTTTTAAAAAAAACACATAAAACAAACAAAGAAGGAGATGAAGGATGGGAGGGAGGAAGGGAGAGGGGTGCGCTGGCCGCCTCATATTGAGTATTTTCCAGTTGATTTTGTTGAAGGCTTCTCAGCAGCGTAGCTAAATAAGCAGCAGCATGCTAATGAATGGAGAATGAGTGTGATAATTTACCAGACAAAGAATGGAGGACTGTGCGAGATAGGAACCAGGAAGAAGGGGGAGGCAAAGGGGCAGTACAATAGTGAAAATATTTAGAAAATATTTGTCATCAAACAATACATAAAACCTGTCTCTAGCCTATATGCCTGAAGGTTCTTTTTGTCAAGCCTATATTGCTAATGCTTAGAGTAAATATTCCCTGTGACGCAAATACGGTAATTTCACGCACTGTACACACAGTCAACCATGTGTTTCATGTTTTTGCATGCAGAAAAGGCGAGAGAGATGGGGAGAGAGTGCTAAACTCAGAGGACAGTAAATGACAACAGAGAAGCGTAGACTCTGTCTGTCCTCTTTCTAAAAGGGCGATGTGACGAAGGCAGTAAACAGGCTGTGAACAGGCTGTGGGCTCTGAGATTATTTCTTTGTCACCAGCAGAGCCACCAGTGTTGCTGAGCACTGCTGTGGAGCAAATCCTCCTAGAGAGGACTGATTGGATTTTTGTTCCAGGGAGCCTTTTGTGTTAGCAGCATAGGGACTAGATAATAGAGGTTGATGCCACTCTGTCTCCGTGTTATGGCTGGTGGATTGAGTTTTTGGACTGTGTGTGTGTGTGTGTGTGTGTGTGTGTGTGTGTGTGTGTGTGTGTGTGTGTGTGTGTGTGTGTGTGTGTGTGTGTACAGCCATCGTCCTTTTTAACAACCACTATATAACTGTTATTCACAACCTATTGCATCCTCTTTGCTTTACAGCCCGTAGGATGCTAAGTATGCATACCTGTTACTGACACTAAGATGAATTGTTAATATGATGACCTGTCACTCTACTAAATGTTCACATGAGAATATTCTGTGCAGGTATACGTATGTTTCCAGGAGATACTCCACTGGTCAAGGTCATTATCAGCCTTTTGGCAGTCTGTGACTCAGTTCCTCTGTCAGATCTATGTATATGCCCAATGGGTGTGTATGTAGAGAGCTGTATGTATAAATAAATTTTTTTATACATTATTGATTTCTGTAGGGAAATTCTTCTTTTAATTGGCCTGCTATCACTGGCGGGTCAGCTGTCAGGTTCAGCTGTAGAACGGCAGCGCCGGTCTTTTCTCAAGGAAACTTCAACACAGCCGCAAGCTTGAACCAGAGTCCTTTAAATTCAGGAAATTCTCCTACTCATTACGCCACCCTGCTGTCCTGTGTGAGTGTGTGACTTTGCAGTGACCTCTATTGGAAACCAAGGAATGATACTGATGACAAGCCAGTTAGAGCAGACATTTAAGGAGGACGGTCAGGAAGTGAATTTTCAAGAAATATCAGCCCTTGTGGATAATTTTAGATTTACGGATACTGACCAACAATACTGTCAAACCTCTGCAAATGTATCCATTTCATTTATGGAAAAGTAGAAATGATCGAACTTATTGCAGCTTGAAATCCTCTGTACCTGTCTCTCAGTGGTGGCAACTCTGTGAGAACAGAGGTGAACTGTTGTCAGGCTGTGTGGCTCAGGCCATGCAGCAACTGATTGCCTGATTCGTCTTGACTGTTTTCTCCGCCACAGAACTAAATGCGTCTCAGCAGTGAGAGATAGTCTTTCCTGCATTTGGATGGCAGAGGAGATGCGTGACATGTGACATACTTTTTCACTGTCAGTATTAGTGTGTCCTGGCTGAAGGTGGGTTGAGAGATATAAGAAAAAGATATATTTCTTTACCAATTTTTCTGTCTTTCTATGTGGAGTGTAGCAATGCATTTGGCCAGATTAGTGGCAGGTGGATGTGAAATTAGACCAACAGAGGCGGACATGATTGCAGACAAATATTATTATTTTACCCCGGATTTAAATAGGTTTGGGTCAGCATTATTTTAGCTTAAACAGATGAAAATGTGTCTGCATTTTGTTCACTGGAGTTTAGATTTGCTCACTAAGATGAAAAGCAGATTTGGATATGAATAAAAACATGAAATAGAATGAGGATACAAGGGAAAAGGGCTCTGTGTCATAAACACATTTTATTGTACTTTGGAGACTTGCAGCTCTTTCAACAAAAATTAAAACAAGAGTAATAAAAGAGCAGCAAGTAATGGCAGCAAAAATAAACTAATAATGGGACGACTGCTGGGTTTTGATGTGCTTTTTCCGACGCAGCAGCTGCACCAACACTCTGTATTAAGCTCCAAATCAATCTTAACCTCCTTCAAGTGTACAGTAAGCTGCAGGAATCATTCTGTGGAGGGATTTGAGATCGGTGACCTTGCCTGTCCTTGACTAGTGTGTTTGTGTGTGTGGGTGGGGGTCTGTGTCTGACTGGTTGGTGGTTAAGTAAAAGCCGCTAGTTGTCAAAGCACTTTGCCCCTCAACATGTCCCTTCCTCGACCCACCAACCCACCACCACGGGTTCCCCCCCATCCCCTAGCGATGAGCGAGCTGCTGGTTGGCCTGGGTTTTATCTGCTATTATCTGTCAGATGCTGTGCACCTGTGAGCCTGGCTGCCCCTCTGCATGATGGCCGGCTGTGGTCGCTCGGCCAATCCCAGTGGCTCCCTGCTGTCAGCTACAGCAACGATGAGAAGTTCTCTGGCTGCCTCCGTCTCTGGTCTGACAGCCACCCTGGAGGAAAGGGTAAGAGAAGCAAAGGGAAGAGAAGGAAAAGGGGGTAGAAATACCATTAAGATGAGCTGTATTCCCACAGACCAAAGCCTGCCCACCAGCCATGTGCTGCGGCTCACCTGGCTGCCAGATAAGTGGAGATTAGAGGAGAGGAGACGGTGGAAAAGGTATTAGAGGCATAAGAAAAATTCTCTCTGAAACCCGGGGACAGCCTTGATACTTTTAGGATTTCTTGTGTCGTGTCTGACATTTGATGCCAACGCAGAAAGGGCACAGAGACAGACAGTCCACGGCGCTCCTACACAGATGGGGCAATCTTCGTCCTTTTATATATTTTTGCTTGTTTGTTCCCTATAGTCTATTGTTCGACTTGCTGTTGCCACTGTATGAATTACAGTTTGAGTTCCCTATCTAGTTAGCGGGGAATAACAGTCTGGTGACACTGGCGAGATCAATACAGGGCCGCAGTAGGAGGTGGAGCGGCCCTAATGAACTGAATTGACTGGTGCTGAAATATGATCAGTATTTCTCTGGTGGTCATTATATTCCTTATGAAGAAGATCAATGTCTCCTGGGTGGATCACTGAGTATACACAGCATGATGGCAGGACCAGCGCTGATACCATTCTAAATACTTAATGAAGGATTTATTCACAATAAGGTTTTCCTCTGTGTGTGTGTGTGTGTGTGTGTGTGTGTGTGTCATTCTTTCTCCTGTCTCTCTTTCAGTCAAAGGTCTGTTTTCAGGCCCTGGGGCATTAGTAACTGATGTGCTTGTATGAGGCTGTGCTGTTCATTTCATGGGCTATCACTTTTTAAATTGGTGAATGCCTTCTTCATGGTTGATTAGTAATTCATGCGGAGCTAATTAAGAGGCATAATAAGAGAAAGACTGGTGAGATGCCTCCAACCAAAATAGGAAAACGGTTTTACCCCGGACTGTAAACAGTTGTGATTGATCGTAGCAGCGCGTTGCCCATAAAAGATATTTATGCTTCTCTGAATCCGTCATCTTGGAACCAGACACCCATATCTTAATTTTTCTCAGTGCTTTCCTGATCTTTCCTGATCCTGAGCATCTTTCCAGAAAGGTGCCTTAATGATCCCTCCATCCCGGCTGTCATCGTCATTTTGCTGGGTCTGTTCTCTGTATGCTGTTGCTCAGGCTGGCGCTCGCCCCTGCCAACCATCATCACGCACACACCTGTACCAGCATCTGTCCATCCTGCAGATTGGCACAGGTGCTGCCTTTAGACTGGCTGTCTACGTGCCGTAAAGTTAATGCGCACACCCTAAAGATATTTTTTCACCTAAACTAGTCTTGTTGTCTTTTTCTCACTCTATTTTTCTGTCACACATATTTACACACATACACTGATCAGAAGCATAAAGTGGTAGTTTATTTTATCCGTCTGTCCATCTGTCCGTTTGTCAGTGGGAACTCTTTATGATTCCCGGCGCAACACTTCACTGATGACGTGTGTGCCCGCAGTCTAATTCCATCATCAGCATCATTACTGCTATTATCCCGTGTCTCCCTTTAATGCAGGCTAATGGATGACCAATAAAGATAGATGAGCCTGGCAGTGTGGAGCTAATAGGCAGGACATGATGTCTGGCTTCTGTCCTGACTTGAGTCTTTGCCCGATCAACTGCCCTCAGAGATAAAACATAGCTAAAATATTATGTATAGTTATTCCTTCAGCTTTAATGAATCATTGTATCTCCAGCTAATTAGCATGCCGATAGTCAACTTAGTTGAGTAATTATTTTTTAAAAGAGCTGATTGGATTTTGGTGAATAAATGGCAGCTGTGTTTTAAATTCTGCTAATGGTAAAAAGTCAACACACAACAATGGCCATGCAGCATTTAACTGATATTTAAAGGTGCTATATGTAAGAATTAACCACCTGTTGAATTCACACTTAAAAGAAATAGGCGACGGTCTATCACCAGAGTTACCCCTAACTTCTGCCAACTGTAGCTACTGTTAGCTAGTTAGCTCAGTTAGCCATGCAGCTAGCAGTCCCATTAGCTGTTATAGCATATGTCTGTGAGCTGACTCTGCCCAGATGGGAGCTTGGATTGAGTGTAAGTGTCAACGCCGCCAGCACAGGAGCTTTGGACCGCCAGGAGGAGGAGGTTTTCAAGCCCAGGTCGGGCGGGACCCAGCAGGGTGTGCTGGCCAGGAGCGGCGCCAGACTGGGCGCCAGACTGGGCGCCAGGCGTCAGGCTATTGGCAGGGTGGAACGTGGCTCCCAGTGAACACGGTCTGACCTGGACTGAACGCAGCCGGCGAGATAAATGGATGCTAGTTTGACGGCAGGGAATGCAGTACAGAGGTGATTTACAGCAGCTCCAACCAAAACTCTGATCCCGGGGACAAGGGCACATGGTGGGTTCGGGCAGGGACAGGACAGGCGAGAAGTGGGAGAGGAGCCAGAGGGAGGTTGGGTATCAGTCAGCACCCACCTCCAGAGGCCTGAGTGGGGGTTACAGGAGCCAAACCTGGTAAGAAAACCACACCGCAGGGTTATTGGACTGAGTGCAGATGCTACAGCAACTCACTACAGTCTCCTTGAGGCACCAATTAAGAGACAGCATGGGCTGAAGCTAACTAGTTAGCATGCTAACTCTGAAACACAGTGCAGAGACATCTTTGACATGACGTCAAAACTATTATTTCTTCAGATTCTATTGATAATTGTTAATAAAAATTATTGAAATTGATAGATGTTTTAAACTAAAATTCTTATATTTTGCACCTTTAAAGTGTTAATTTAATACTGTTGGATATGGAAAGGTAATGTTAGACTGAAAGTGGTACAATGTAAAAAAGTTGATTGTTCAAAAGCTTGATACATTGTTATGAAGTGTAATATATAATGAATGTCTGTATGTGTGTGTGAGAGAGAAAACCTACTATATACCTATGGAAAAATGGAACAATTGCCTGGGACCCACCATAATACAAGTGTCAGAGAGATGTCGGTCTTTACACACCAGAACGAGCCTAATAAGGCAAAACACCAGGCAAACCCCCTGTGGACCACTTTACAAAGCCAATAATATATACCCTCATTGCAAATTCAAAAATGATCAGGACTATATTGTATACCAACAGTATAGTACTGATTATTTTTGAGATAATCAAGAAAATTATAATAATACTGTATTGAATTTAACTACTGGCATAGACGCCGCAGTGACCAATCAGCCTTACAGTTCATATAATTGGAGGTGCAAAAAACATTGTGTTCATTCAAGCACTGTGACCTGCTTGAAGCAGAACAAGAGAGTTTGGTAGTGCAGTGGAGCAACGTACCATGAAATAATTACAGTGAGAGAACGGGAGTACATGGATTAAGTTTTGAGTGCATGAAAAAGGTTCTCACAGAGGCTGACATGATGTACAGTACCATATAAAGAAATAAAAAGTATTGGAAGAATATGAATTTGTGATAACAATGAGATCACAGTCAGTTCTCCACATTGTGTTAAAAACAAATTGTGGTGAGTGAGAAATATAATATATTTCCTTTGAGAGTTTTTCTGAAACAATGCAGAAAAGTTAAAGTGATATGTTCAAAAGGACTTTCTATGAAAATATTAACATAGTCACAATTAATGTAAAATAATAATAATGAGGGCAGACTCCCATCTTTGGTGCACCTCCGGGAACTCTAACGTCAGAAGAAAGTTTTGTTTGAGTGAACTTCAAACAGCGTGCAGGAATAACATCACGCAAGTCTTTTAAATGGAGTGGTGTCCACCTTTAAACACTGGCCACTTCAAAGACAGAAAGCTCCAGAAACTGAGAAGCCTTATGCTGACAAGCCCAGCCTTGAGGACAGGAGAGCTATTGAACAGAAGCTTAGATTAGCAGTAATCCTCTGTTCGACTTGTTGAGAAGCTGCTCAAATCTCTTGTCTATCACTCTCACTCCTGTTATAGTTTGTGGAGCTCTGCCAAAGTATCAGGGCATAGAGATATATATGAAATGGCCCAGCCTGAAAAAAAAAACTTCAATTAATTCTTGCCTCTAAATACCATTTATCAAAAAATAAATGTGACAAAATTTAAATGTATGTGAATGTTAAATTGTGACAGTTCAACGTAGTGCTTCTTCACAGAGAAGTGAAGCGAGCTAGTCTCCTAAATCAATAGTATAGCTGCGAGATGTAACCACTCACTTGTATTGAAAACACCCGAAAATACTGCTCCAATAACTGAAATAAAATGACTGCCATTATGTTCTGAGAGTTACTGTCATCGCTTTGTTTGTTTTGTTTTCAAATTCCCTTGTATACATCTAACAGACTCTGAGACCGGTCATACAGCACAGTGAACAAACATCATGGGGAAGCTGGCATTTGAAACAGGTCTAATCATAACTAACTAAATGCCTGAAACTATGAAACGAAATATCAGAGAAGGAAAAAAAAAAGCTCTATATAGTTCTGCATCACTTACTTTTCAATTACAGCAGCCGAAGCAGAACGAAATTGTTAGTGTCATTTATCGACTGTGGTGCTCTCCATTAGAGTAACAACTGAGAGAAATCCATCCTGTTGTATAACCACCTGGCTGTCTTACATTAACAAAGAGTTCATTTCTGTCAGCTGGCCTTAAAGTCTTTCTGTTGTGGCACAAGGAACAGATGAGAAGTGTACACCAGGAAGCCCATGAAAGCACACAGAGACCAATAAACTCTGACCAGGCAGGTAATCATCTCGGTGGCTTTTTCTCACTGTAGTTCCCAGAAACAATTCCCCTTCCAAGAATGAGAAGTTATGGACACCTTAAGTGATGAGGCTAATGATCCAGGTCGACTATAATCTCCTACTGCAATCACTTAAAGCAATGCTTAAAACAAATATTTGCTTTATAAATATTTGTTTTTAAGTATAGTATAGTAATATAGTATTTGTTTTCCTTTACAGATGTTTAAAATTTAACATAAATTAAAAAACATTTTAATATTATAGTTACACTACAGGTGCAAAGGGAATGTGTGTTTCATATGTTTCTGACACAAACAGATCTAAATAGGTTTTTTTTTTTTAATACTTCCACTACTATCTCTACATCTCTTAACAGCAAAGTTAATGTCATGTCTATTACTTATGCCTTGATGATCTACCCTGGTGATGTGGACCAGGCAAGAGTAGCCGAGCGCAGACACCATCCCCAACCCCCCTATGTGTATATATTTTTTTTAATACTTTGTGAGGAAAAACTGTCAACCATATCCAAAGTGCAGGACCAAAGAGAAGTAAAATAATGTATGCTTTTGTTAGATTCTTTGAAGACGATATGTGCTACGCGTTATCCGTTTCAAATGTCGAAGATTTCAGACCTCTGCACAAAACAGATTTTGATAATCAGAAGGTGTATCTGGTTCACAGAACTGAAGAGAATGGCAGCGCAGGCCAGCCGTGCGAAGCACAGATCCTTGCCCTTGCAGGTAAGTTGCCCTCTTAACACATCAGCTCTCCTCCTTTTAATGCTGTTTTTATCTGTCCGACCAACTAACGGCGATGTGCGCGAAACTCAGGAATGTGTCAAACCAAGTGATTTTGTCCGATCTGTCAAGACGTGATCAGCTGGAGTCTGACACTGATAGCCACAACAACGTCCTCGGCTGTGGCTAGCTAGATATGCTAGTCAGATATGCTAAGATAAGTTTGGTTGGTAGTCGTACCTTTGTCGTCAATGGTTTACATTTTTTTTACATCCAGCGTGTCGTCTTCCAATAGTTATTTCTCTTGTTTCAATAGAGTAGTGCTGGCTGTTTCGCTAAATAACGTTACGTGGCATGCAGCGTTAGCCACTCACAGCGGTTGTTTACAACATGTAGCTAACGCTTGTTAGCTTGGTGTGTATTCGTTCCGCGTTAGCATGTTAGCGCCGACGCGCTAGTTAACTGCGTGCAGACGCAGAGCTGTCGCTGCATTACAAACACATGTGTCAGCCTGCGGTTGACCGGTTATCATTTATGTAGTGGTTCGTAAATGTAGTCGAGACGATAGCCCGATAGCTTGTGTATACTGCGGTTAGCCTTGTTAGCTGGCTTATCTGTGGGCTTTTTGCCACAGAGAGGATGCGGTGCTGCAGTCCTCGCCGTGTCTCAGACAACGTACAGCAGCCGCTCGTCACTAACATGCCAATGTCATGGCTGCTTTATGACAGTGCATCATGTTAACGTGCTGAAGTGTGCGAGTTGAATGATTTGCTTAACGTTAAGCTCCAGTTAAAGTAATGTGTGCTCTCGGTCGTTTTCTATGCTCGATCTTTAACTAGCTACATCACTAATCCCTGAATGTGAGCTGTCTGGGCTGCAAGATCGCTCAGATCTGACCTACACCTTCACAGGCAGTTATGTTAAAGAGCTGTGTAGCCAGGACTACTTGTATCGCAGTCCGCTGTGAAGATTACATTTTAGTTGTAGGTTAAGAGTGCTGAAGTTAGTTTGATCTAGCAGAATGGAGAGAGTAAACGCCCTCGGCCCGAGTTTGACAAATGGATGAAAGGATTCTGTAGGTACTTTCACGTTTTATGAAAATCCATCTAACTTTTTGGAAACTTTATGAGTCTCATCCTGCTCCTATTTCTGCATTTCACAGATACAGTAGAGGAATTTGAAGACAGTATAATGCAAAAGAAGATGAAAATTCCCAAGATGTCCATCAAGAATTCAGGAAACTCTATTGAGAACAATTTTGGAGAGGAGAGAATGCCACTCAGACATAAAAAGGTAGGCTCAACTAAATAAGACACTAGTTGTGTTGTTATAGAAGAAATGAGCTTTTACATGTAAATGGACAGCACTGGCTAATGGACTCTTCATCACCAACTTGTGCCTGTACTTACAGTGTCACCAGTATCGTGACATACAATCACACTGCCCCTCATCGTGTTCAGTTAATACTGATCTATTGACAGTGTCATTAAGATCAAATATTATGATGCTATAATAACAAATTCAAATCAGCCAAAGTTTAATTTAATTAATGTATCATAACAAAATTAAGTAACAAAGTATCCCACTTGAGTTACTTATATTGACACTAATTTGCTGTGTCAGCGAGGACCCCAAATAATTTTGCTGATTAAAAAAAAAAGCTTATACAAACACTGTGTAAGTGTGGGCGTATGTGTGATCGCATGTGTCATGTTGATGCATACACAGCAATGATCTTATATTTAAATATATCTATTGATGATACAATGTCACATTTTCATAAACTTGGCTGACACCCAAAATCCCCCACGCTATTTTTACCATATGCTGGATTAACACAAATTCAGCACTCTGGACAGCTGCCCTTTCACAGACAAATCCTCTGAGCGGCTCATCAAAGAACTCAGTGACTCCTCTCCTCCCAGTTCCTATTGAGATCCGAACGGTCAAAACAAACTGTTTGCAGTCTGTCTGTCTGTCTATCACGTCATTTTTCTATTCATGTGTGGGTTTTATATCTGTTCTGGCCTTCCAATTGTTGAATGGAATCACATGTTAAGTGCACTTTTGTCACTGATGCAGCAAAGAGATTTTCATATTCTCTATTTGTCACAATTCAAATTTAATTTCTCTGGCCCTTCAGTTCCCTAAATTGACAGTTGTTATTTTCATCAGGCCCTGTCTCAGGACCATGGACGCCCCCTTTCCAACTCCTCCAAGAGCCTGGCAGCAGTAGTGGCTCGCCTGGAGAGAAATGCAGCAAGCTCCTGTATGGAGGGCGAAGAGGACCTGGATGAGGACCGGCTGGCTGAGGAGGGAGAGGATGCAGACGACGAAGATGACGATATGGAGGCAGAGCATCAGCAACATCATCACCAGCAGCAACAACAGCATTTGGAGGTGGACACGGATTGTGTGTCTGGGGTAGCTGCAGCTGTTGTTCCTAGAGTCCTGTACGAGGAGCTGGTTCATAGCTATAGGCAACAGGAAGAGGAGATGAGGAGGCTGCAGCAGGAGCTGGAAAGAACCCGCAGGCAGCTGGTACAGCAGGCCAAGAAGCTGAAGGAATATGGCAGCTTGCTGACAGAAGTCAAAGAACTGAGGGACTTCAACCGGAGGCTGCAGGACGTGCTTCTCATGAGATTGGGCAGCGGTGAGGGACCAGGAGCATGCACACCAACACACAAACCACTGCCGCCTGTTCCACAAAGTTTATTAGTAACCTTTAACCTCATCGGCCATTTAAAGGAAATGTCTACAAAAGTCGAATCAGTTGGTATTAAGCCTTTGTACCTATATTATCACAATACTGCAATCCAGAAACACTTTTTTATTCTTAGAAAGTCTTAAAGTCTTAGACAGTAACATCTGTACAGCCCGAAACTGCCATTAGCAGTGGAAGGAGGTGGGAGGCAAGTGGTTGGACACATTATAATCCTTGTGTTTACTCTACACTGTCTACACAGTGCACTTATTTAGCACCCCCTCTGATCTGAAAACGACGTATTCCTCTTCTTAAGAACCCTGACAAATACCAGACATAATGGTTTCTGCAGTTAAGTCTGACACATAAGAAGATGCAACTGGAATATTCATCGCTACACTGTGAAAAATTATTTGAGAAAACGGCCTTTATTTTGGAATACTTTTCAGATCATGTCTTTTTAGTCTGTACGTTTCAGACTGCTGCTTTAATTCAGTCTCTTTCTGCTACAATTTCAGAAAGTCCAACAGGCAGTATAAAGTAGATCAATTTTGTATTATATACAAAGCATATGGTATCGCTCACATAAATTGTATCAATATTTCAACAATTTCGAGGTTTCTAAGAAGGGTTGGTATATAACGAAAAAAGATCGCCTGTACAGCTGGGGGTAAAAGCAGTGATATAAGCAGTAGGTGCTACTACCAAAGTAGTAAATCCAATACAGGAAGTTGAATGAAAAGCACTGTAGTTGTAAGTGTGATTAAACGTGGTGTCATTGCAGTGCGCAGGCAGTGTACAAACTCAAGCTTTGCCAGATGCTGGTGTTAACCTCAGCCCCCCTGCAGATCTGGACAGAGGCGCCTGGCTACTGGCGAGACCATCTAATGGACAGACTAAAGATTAGAGCACCCTAGGGTGCTGTCGGGCAGGGGAGGGAGTGCACTGACCGATATTAAAACTCATCAGCTACATTGGAGCTTAGCGTGGCCAGCCACCAAGCCAGCTTAGGTACTGGGCTAAAATAACCGCCTGTCTCGAGGTACGGGGAAACCCAGACCCAAGGTGGGAAGTAAGCAGACAAGCAGGTTGGCACTGTTCCATTGGTAAAGACCAGGAAACTCATTGTCACATGCTCCTAGATACTGTAGGGATTAAAGTGCAACTGGCTGTTTACAACTAGCAGGTTGTCGAGTGTTATTGAGCTCTGTTCTGTTTTAGTGTAATCCTCTATGGTTCTGTGAAGTTGGCTAGCAGTTGATGAGTGGCCTTTTGACCTCACCTCAACTTTTACCACTGACGGATGTAGATTTGTTGCTTGTATCGACTTAACGTTAAATGTCTCCTTCGTATCTCCAGAGCCTATGCATGACAATGGCACTCAGACAATCAAGGCTGAAGTGGTTGAACCCATTGTTGAGGCCCAGGAGACGTGCAGAGAAGAAGCCAACACCAGTTCCAGCTACTCACCCTCACCCAGAACAGTATACACCTGCAATGATGGGAAGGTAAGTCTCACTGGACCATAGGACACTCTTTATTTAGTTCACTTCTCGTGATTCCCTCTGGCTGGCACGTGAATACTCCCTCCCTCAACTGTTTTATTTTGTCATAGCTAGCCTAATTGCGTGCCTATTTATCTGCTACCAAACTTTTGTGGTCTTTGTGATGTTTCCTGTCTATTTTCATTTGCTTCATCTCTTTTTTTTTATTCTGGCATTTATTCTTGAAGGCAAAATCACTCATCCAAATGTAAAGAAAAAGGTACCCCCAGCACTAAAATTCAAAAGGCTTGTTCAATTCATACACATAAAATGCTTATTTTTAATTTACATATTGACCTCTTCAGTTATATATTTGAATATACTTGTCATTGATATGGTCAAATCTTACAGTACAGACATGGACTTTAAACCTTCACTAAAAGATTATCCCAGTAACACCTCTTGCCCTTTGAGAGTCTTGAATCCTTCACTTCCCCCTCCTGCATCCCTGGCTCTCTGCCTGGGGGTGACCGTGGGAAGTAGCCTGATTTTGTAGGAAATGCTGAATTTCCTTTAACACCCATGAACTTGGGAACATGCCGTCATAGTTGATCAGTCCTTTCCCCCTGGCTGCCCTACCCTAGCAGGTAAACAAGGTTGAGAAGATTATTATTGTTCCTGCAAGCCCAGCCAGCATCATCAGTGTTTATTGGCCTGTTAGGGTTCTTTACTCCCCCCACCGCTGTAACTCAACCAGCGTCCTGTCTCTGATGACAGGGGGGGAATTGGTACTACAAGCTCTTGGGCCTGAAGCCACTTCAAGCGTGAAGAACACTTGCAAATTAGAACTCTCCTACATCAGGGACCCCATATTAATTATTTGCACGAGAGGAATTTAAAGTGACTGACAGGTTAGCCCTAGTGAGAGAGTCAAGTGTGTGTGTGTGGGGGGGGGGCGCCGTAGAAAAGAGGGAGGAGAGATGGAGAGAGAGAGATAAACGGAGGCAGGATGAAAACAATCTTGTCTTACTTGAGGGCAGTAAAAAGCTTGTCTGCTGGCCGGGGGCCTAAAGCACATTAGCTGCACAGGGAAAAGCCTTTTGGATGGTAGCCTAAAGACTTTACAGTGATAAGAGAGGGGAGAAGGGAAAGAGAGTCACATATGCCCCCCTGCTGCATGAGCTCACCTAGAAGACCGGGGCAGTCTGCCTAGGTTGGCAATCGGCTTGGAGTGTTTGGTGCAGGATTATGCAACGTGCAGTGGCAGTGTGTAGAGAGCTACAGGCTAAGTTCATAGTGGAGGTAATCCAGGCTAGCAGCCAGTGGCCTGAGCTTATTTATGTATCCTTGTTGGTGAAAGTGGTGCTTCTTGGGATTTGTAAAGTGGTCTAAGCGGGAGCTGGTTAGGATGTGTCCTGCCACGACAAACTATGACCTGCCTTGTCCATTTACCGTAGATTTAGAGGGTTTTACATGTGCATGGAGCATTGGACCACAGCATCTAACACAAATGTCAGACTCAAGTGAATAGTCAGCATAGTTATTACAGGATAAAATGTGTTATTGAATTTAATGTCAATGTAAATGTGTTGTTTTTCAGAAGTATCAATGCTTCCAAGTACCAAAGTCTTGTACCTCTCCCTCACCTACCAGCTTCTACTTTCTGTTTTTAGAATGCTTTTGTTGATTTAATTTTTAAATATCAAATGTCAGAATTAATGAAATTGCCACCCTACTACTAATCTGGTCTGTAAACAATAACACTGTGTAGTTGTTGAAACAACCACGAACCATCTGGGATAACATCCATGTTTTTGTCCACTTACCTTCTTTTTTTTTTTCTAAAGGTGGCTTATGAAACAGTAACCGTAATAGCATTTGTTTATTTTATTTTTAAGTATTTATTTTCCCTGTGGATAGGGCAGACAGATCTTCAGTAGGTAGCACTGTTTTAGAGTCCTGCATGAGCGAGCATGTGTAAAGCAGATGAGGCTGTCCCATGCAGGGTAGAGCATTGTTTGCTTAAAAATGTCAGTGTGCTAGTCCTGTTGTTTTTAAACTGAACTGATCATATCCCCACTGCATTACACTTTTCTCAGGCACTGTGCAGTTGACCACACGAAGTGCTTTTATCTTTATCAGCAGACTTGTAGATGCACATTTTAAGATGTGGTGTGTGGCTTATCCTCTCTGCAGGTACACCTAGGTGGAGGGATCTGGGTGGAGGAGGAGAAGTGGCACCAGCTGCAGCGGACCCAGGGAGACTCCAAGTTCACAAAGAACCTAGCTGTAATGATCTGGGGCACAGAAACCCTCAAGAACCGTAGTGTCACTGGAGTGGCCACCAAAAAAAAGAAAGATGCTCTGCCCAAACCTCCCCTGTCACCCAGCAAACTGAAAATCGTCAGAGGTAAGCTAAAATCCACATTTAAACCTATGAATTTATGAAACAGATGAATTCTTGTTCTGATGGATCTTTTGTAAGCTGAGACAAGTTGGAAAACATCAGGTACAGAAAAATGATTTTCTCTGTTCATACAGCCTTTCAATCATTGAATTATATAATTACACTAGACAAAGATAAGATCAGCAATTTTTTTATTTGATGTAGTCTGACTGCTCACACTCACTCCTTCCCCAGAGTGTCTCTACGACAGAGTGTCTCAAGAGACAGCCGACAGTGCAGAGATTACGCAGAGATTGTCCAAAGTGAACAAATACATTTGTGAAAAGATAATGGACATCAACAAGTCCATCAAGAACGAGGAGCGGCGGGAGTCCAAGCTGCTCATCAGACAGACAGTCAAGATGGAGAACTTCACCTATGACGGCATGTAGTGATAAACGTTTGTCACGCCAGCGCCTTCTGCCTCCCCTGTGGTCCGCAGGATATTGAGGGGACTTGATATGGGTGGTTTGGGGATGTTTGTCACAGTTTCAGGAGCAGTTGTTTCCCTTTGACACATTGGATTGGTTATTACGTGAAACAATAAAACAAATAGACCCCTTCCCAGCTCCCTATAGCGCAACCATCACCCTCTTCAGTGCCCAGTTTCCTCATTGGGTGGCAGACAGCTTTACCCACCAGTGAAACGTTAAACACGTGTGAACTAGTTTGATATGAGCTGGTATGAGTGTTTTTATAAGCTTTACAGTGGGATTGGTACAGAGACGTGGTTTATTGACGTGTGTGCATTTGTGTCAAAGGGAGAGATTAGATATGTTTGTTAAATTGATTTATTGTTCTGTGTCAGAACATCATTTTGAGTCCTTAAACTTTTAAAAAGTAAGAGGTAATTTCCCTAGATAAAGTCTGCTGATGCTATAGAGATGATGATGATGCTAGCTTGCATTAGATCTTAGTTGAGTGGACGGTTGGATATTTTGGTGACTACTGTTTGCTGTTTTGGTACTTACTGCATAGAATGGGACAACAGGGTCTCAGATGCACAAGTCTTAATTAGTAACAGCCATATTGCATTTTGCAACAGAGATTCTGTTGCTCATCGAGATTAATTTCCCCCCTTAACTGTAGGCCACTCACATCACTTTATTAAAAACAAGAGCTTAAAGAGGTTAAATGTGAAGTATGACTCTAATGTAGAGTCTATAGAGTGCTATATTTGTTTTGTTTTTTATGTTGACCTTTTAGTTCTGAGCATTCACGATCAGAGAGAGAGCACAAGGAAATGTGTTTTGATGGGATATTTCTGTGTTACTCTTAATCAAACGTGTCACTTTGAGACAATTTGACTGTTTAATGAGTTTTAGTGGTACAGGCATGTTGATGCCTAGAAAGGCCTTAAATGGATTTGGCAATCACCGGGGGCCGGTTCGCCCTTGGGTTTTCTAGTAGGCTGTGATTGTAAATGTATAATAAGCTGAAGTGATGAAACTTCACCTGCACTTTGCTGTGAGAATGTAAAAGGTGGTTATGGGTACTATTTTCTGTGCGATTCACACCATTAAGGTGAGCTGATCCGGGCTTTGAGCTATCCCCACTCCTGTATTTAAAAGACGCTGCGCTGCACGGGGAAATGTGGGGAAGAAAGCTCTGCACGGTTCAAGTCATCTTCTTGTGGAAGCAGTGTTAGTTGTGGGTAAAGCTGTCTGAAACACTATTATACTGTTGAAGTTGTCTGGGCCTGCTGAACCCCATAATAACCCCCTCTTTTTTAAGCCACGCCACTGGGGAACAAAGTAAGGTTGCTTCAGTGACAATTTCCTCTGAGCTATGCCATCAAAACTTGGAAAATATCCTTTTTCTTGTATTTTTTTTCATGTTTGTTTTTTTTTTCTATTCAGTTGTTTTATTGTTTTGATCCAAAATGGTTTGTGTGGCTGTCTGCAGGCTGGAACTAAATGCTGCAGATTGAAATCTCGACTGTGACCTAACTGTGGCTAACTGTGAATCTTCTACAGAGCTGCCCATCAAGCCTCTCTCCTCTTCACACTCTAGATTCTTGTTTGACGGTTGGTTTATTTCTCTCTATCATTTTGTCTTTCTTGGGTTTTTTTGTTATCTCAAAAAGTTCAGATCAGCCTTTTGTTAAGCTACCTTATGTTTTGGAAATGTTTTAGTGTACATAAAAAAAACCTCTTTTTATTTTATTTTTTTCCACCAAACATGGATGTTTCAGTTTCTAGTCATGTTACATGTTACAGTTTTAACGGTTCTGGTCAAGTTTTGGTTTATCAAATTGATGTTGTAATTCCATGTTACCTGACAATTTCTTCTATTTCTTTTTACACTTATCTTATTGTTTGTTTTTTTTCATATGAATTGTTGGCTTTAAGCTTGATGTTGTATCCAAATGTAGATCAGTGGGATCTACAAACACATGAAAAAAAATTTGCCCTTTCTTAGCCAAAGTGATCTCTGTGGAACAAGAGAGATGAGGCTTCCCTTAACATCAGATTTTGACAGAGCCCATACATTATACTACATTCACAACATGTGATATTTAATAATAAACCTCACTTAGAATCTACCTTCTAATGACTGCCACAGTAAGATGAGAATCTGTATCGTTAAACGGTTGTACTCAGATGCAGTAGTTAGATCAACACAAAACATTTACATTGAAAGCACTTTAAACTTCTGGGCAATTTCTTCAATCTTAAAGAAATGTATTTGTGGTATTCGTCCTTTTTTTTTTTTTTTTTTTTTTTTTTTTTAAATGTCTATATAGATTAAGGCCTAACAATCATTGTATTATCATGAAGCACCTTAGAACACTTTGGTTTATTGTTTTTTTATGGCAGGAATGAGTTACGGGATATGATTTTTGTTAGTTGGATATGCCCCTGACATGTCAATGCTCCAAAACAAGCTTGATCGATTTAATACTTCCAACTACTACTTGGAAGTAGTACTACTGCTACTACTTCCGAATATTTAGATCTTTGAAGATTTATTCGGGGTGTTTAGAAGACCAGATTTCCAAAAGTTACTCTATGATGAAACTGGATTCAATGTCTTACTTGGCAAATTGACAAGCAAAAAGTCGACAACTCTTCTTGGCTTTCATGCCCAAAACATGATTCACCAATCTAAAGAGATTTACCTATGAAATGTGCAAGCTGACTGGAATATGTGCTTTAACTTAATGTGTTAAGATGCTGGTTGTGTATAGATATGATTTATATAAAGATAATTGTGTATTTTTTACAAATGAGTGGTAATTGTAAGCCAAAGTATTGAAGGCTGAGATCAAGCTAAAGAAGGGGGATGCTGACTTAGGAATCAGCAGGGTTTGCACAAAAAATGGCCCATGCCAAGGTAATAGAGCTTAGTGAATCTTAAACCACCAAAATTGTGACAGATTATTGATTAATTTTATATTTTTGTTCCTAAAAATATCCCTTTTTTAGTGACCTTTGGGTTTTTGTTTTCCCTGTATAAAGCAACATGTGAGGTTTACGTGCGCTAGCGTGTATTTAAAATACATGCGATTTAAAAGAAAGAAAAGATTTCTGCTGTGCAAAGCAACCATGCTGAAATTCTGACACATTGTCGTGTATGTGTTTGTGTTTGTTTCTTTGTTGTTTGATGCCAAAAGGGGGTGTGGTTAAAATAATGCTTTAAGATGGAGCATTAATAGAGCTATTACATCATCTGAAAAACTTGTTTTTAAAGGTTGGTTTCCTGGAGCGCCATTAAGCCTAATCCTTTAACTAAAACCATCTTTAGTGGATGAAAGCTGTATGGAAGTACTGTATGTTTTTAACCCAGATTTGGTTTAATCTGTGATGGCAAGGCCAATCTCTATCCAATGTACCAAGTCACTTGCAGAGGAGCAGTTTGGGTTTTAGCAGCATATTAGTAACATACACCCATATATAACCTGGCAGAGCCGTTAATGGATGATATAGGACAGTTTGGCTCTGCAGCTCAACACCAGTACCTTCCAGTACTCTCACTGTCACACTCAAGTAGCTATAGGGAGGAAATGCGACCTCACTTGCTCTGTGATCCTCATCCTGTGCCACCTCTAGTTCCTTACTCTCCTGACATTTATATGAACTGGATTTAAAAATGCAAATGTATCAAGATAATGGAAAATCCTGTCCTCCTCGCTTGGTGTTTTGCCTTGTGTTGTGAATACCTGTCAAAGCTTCACAAGTGAGGGAGCTTTATGTTGCTTTTGACAGTTTGATTGGGAAAAGAGATCAGTTCTAGCTTCACTGAGTGGAACAAGATAAATGGCTCCATCTAGCAGTTTTCACAACTAAGTGTACACAAAACCCATTACTGTTTGAGCCTCAGATACAATGTCAAACTTACTTCAAATGAGAAAAAATGGGAGGAACACATTGTTAGGCCTATATTTTTCTTAAGGTATCAGTAACTTTGTATACAATCCACAAACCGGTTCTACTTCATCTAACTTCACCGTCCTACCTCATTGTTACTCTGGTGTTTGTTTGTCAGTGACTGTAAACTATGTGTGTATATTATTAAAAAAAATAGGAAAGGTATACCTGGTTACTCTCAACATGTACAGCATATAAAACTTGTAAAACACCTCAGTACACAATATCATTCTTAGGAGAAATCAGTTTTATTACCTGCTTAAAGATGCTGCTCTAAAGGGGTGTCTGCGTGAGGGGGTCGTCTCTGAATATATATCTTCGCTCTTTGCTATGTCGTGCAGTTGATCAGTGGTTGTGTTCTGTCTCTGTATTGCATTCTGAGATTTTTACTGGTTGACGGTGCTACCAGCAAACAGTTCAAAAACTGATCTGTCTATCGGACCTCAAATGGTGCTGTTTTTCTATGTTTTTATCCTCATACAGCTATGTTTTATTCAGGTGCGTCAACCGCCACTATCCCCTCAGCTAATCAAATTGTAAGCCAAAATATTTCGCAAAACGATAACCCTGCTATTACTGTATCAACTTATATGCTATCCATCCAAATAATGTAGATAGTGATTATACCCTCAGCTGTGAGTTTCAGAAGTACCTCAGAAATTGCTGATTTTCAATGGATGCATCTGCTTCTAGCACCTGTTGTCTACCAATATTACATTGTTGCAGTGTATTTTCAGAAATATGCATTTTTACTGGTTAGATCAGGTTTCACTATATAGTACATGATAATCAGATCACACTCAGATGACCGATAAATTTACAGGATACCACTGTTCACTGGTTGCATGCCAGATTTTGTCATAAAGGAAATCTCAGTTGGACTGGGCAGTGTATGTTACTGTAGAAGAGGTCCTCAGCAAAAACCATGTTCTGTTCAAAGTCCAGTTTGTTTTACAGAAGTAGGATTCCATTGGTAGTTGTATTTATGGTGGAAAAATTATATGTGGGTTGATTTTGGGATTGTACACGCTAAAGCCCCGTTTATAATATTAATGGAAATCACAGAGAGTTTTCAAGGTACATTCATGGAGACTGTTTTGGGGAGTTTCAACCAGTCAGTTTTGAAATGATTGATTTTAGTCACCATTTTAATCTGTGATTCCCCTGTTGTATCTCTTGGTCCCTTACCACTGTTTAAACAATTCAAATGTAATTTTCAGTGTTAAAATATGAATTTAGTGTAGCAATCTGTTCATGATTGACTTACTGTGAGCTAAAGTCGTGTGTACAGCAGCATTCAGTGTCTGGACTTGGCTTAATTATACAAAAAAGTGCATTATATTTTCTTTGACCCTGTGCAGTGACACCAATGGAATCTTTTCTGCGCCAAAGTGTTTAAAGTGTGTTGAGTTGTTTTTTTTGGGTGGTTTGCTCTACCTGTCAGTATGTATATATTTGTTTTTGTTTTTTTTTTTTTGTTTTTTTTACTCTGACCATGTCTGTGAACATGAAATGTGCTGGGGAACTCCTCTCTACTGTGAGCAGTGTGTGTTCAAATACACAGCAGTTGGTTTTGTGGAAGCACTTAAGCCATTCGTTGGACTGTTTCATAATGGTTCAATTTTAAGCTTTGCTCTGGTCCAGGGAATTGACCCAGAGAGTTTTGTGTGTAATTGAATTCCTATGCAGGTGTGGAGTTGTAATCACCTGGTACCACATCACTGTTGGGTGGAGGGCCAACCAGGGAGAGATAACTGGAGAGTGTTCAAACCTTTGAATGTGTCTGCACAGCCTTGAGATTGAGTCAAAGGGGACAATGGCGACATGACAAATCCGTACAGAACTATTACTACATTTTCATGGAGTTTAATTAAACTGAGCTATACAGGGCTGCTTGGATATATACTTGTCTGTAATAGTTGTAACTGCAATGATCATTAGGGAAAGACAGGGTTATTACTGTATGGAGTATTTCCAGCTGGTATGATAATGTGAAAAGAATTTCAAGACTATTGCAGTAAACACTCCCTCACCCTACTTCAGCCTCCCTGAGGCAACCCTACATTTACAGAAGATGTTATAAGTATATGCGATAGAGAGTGTACATGTCTTTGCTAAACCGGCCACACCTCTGCTATGCGAGCAACTCTTTGACGCTTAGCATCCTGTTCTGTGTTTTCTCTTGCTGCATTCAGGAACACCTGTTTAATGTATAGATAAACAGAAATAAATCCAGACTTTTATTCTATCAGCACAAACCTCTTGTTGTCTTTTTTGTCTATCCTGCCTCGTGTCCGTTTTATCGAAGAAACAAACTACAAGACTTGTGTTGGTAACTGAAAGCTAAGGTAAAAACTGTATGTGATATTGTATTTTTTTGTACAGTGCTGATGATGTCTCTGCCTCCACCATACAATATTTCTGTTCTGTTGTTGTGTGTCCGAAAAGTCCAGAGAAGTTGAACTTTGTGGACCCAGTGGATACGATCAGAAAATTATATTTTGCTACCTTTTTAAAGCCATAGTTTGAAATTATGACAAATACTTTTATTTACTGTCTTTTATAGAGCTAGATGCAATTTGTACAGTAAATATAAAGCTGCACCCAGCAGCAGGGTTAGCTTTGTATAAAGACTGGAAATATGGGGGATCCAGCAGGGGAACCTGGTTCTGTCCAAGGGTAAAGAAATCAGCCTACCAGCTCGCCTATTAGCGTGTTATATATATATAGTTTGTTTAAACTTTACAAAATCAAAAAAGTTAAAAAGTTGGGCAGCAGTAACTTCCTGTGGTCTGGTCTGTCTGTTTTACCCAGTTTGCTCCATCTTTGTGCTAAGCTAAGCTAAGCTAACCGGCTACTTCTGTAGCTTGTTCTGACCAACTTACATAATGTATGTTGTTGGGTTTTTGTTGGCATGGGAAAAAGACATTTAACTGTAACTAGCTGATGTAACTAACATGCTTATTTCAAAACCATTATCTTTTCCTAAACCTAACCAAACTACGACTGTTTCACTACTTAACCACATGTTTCTTTGTCCTTTCCAGTGCATCCAAACACACTAAGATATTAAAGGCAAAAAACGGGCCTTCGGAGCAGTTGGCTTTTGTTTTCGGGATAACGGGTTGTCGGACAATGGGCTTTTGGTCCAATGTGACATTTTTTGACTATTGAGGTTCGGGACTAATGGGCCTTCAGAACAATAGGTGTCCCTGTGTAGCTTTATATCTAACAGACAGATTTGAGAGAAGTTCCGGTTTTCTCATCTAACTCTTCGCAAGAAAGCGAATGAGGGTATTTCTCAAAATATTAAACTACTGCTTTAATTGCACCACCTGCATCAAAGGAATTCCAGATCAAGTGGAGTAAGACGGCAACACTTTCGGTCAAATTTTCTGGCGATTGGTTGACAAATCAGTGTGGCCGTGCCCTATTGTTCGCCGTTAAGAAACATTTTCTGAAGGGGCGCTGAGCGAGCTGTAACTTAATTTCCACAGATTTTATATTTTCACCTCAATCTGTATATTCTAAAACCACCAAATCAGGGTTCAATCTGGTCAATAGCTTGGAGTGTAAACCTACCTCAAGTCTTTAAAGTGTTATTTTTTACACTGGAATACCACTTAACTAATGTCAAAAGACTTTTTATTTTTAAATTGATGGCCGTGTGTGCTGAATGGATTTCAGAAAACCTTAATGACCCCGAGGCTAATGCAAATTTCTCAGCACACATTGAGTCAGTAAACCTTTAATTTAAATGCAAAGATTAAAATTAGAGTTTGAGTTTTCCATACAATGGTTACACTCTACTTTTTAAACCTCTCACCCAGGAATCTGACAACATGAAGACAGGCAGATATGCAGAAAGACAGGAAAATGAGCTCTGGTGTTATTTCTCTAACAACTCATTTCTCTATACATAGATCAGTGCGGCTGTGTAAGCACATTGTGCGTTTTCACACCCAATCTGACTGGCTTTCCATCCTCATAGGCTCTGTAGTCAACTTCTGTCACCATAAAGATCAGTACCTTTCTCCTTCACATCCCTGGTGCTTTGACTGTAGATTTGTTTTTCAAGTTTGGTGTGTTTTGGAGTGCATGTGTGCGCATCTGCAGTGAAGGTGAGGGATTAACCAGCAGATTGTTCTCAATGTCAGCCACAAGATAACAGGATGGCAGAGACCCACAGTTCACTGTACTGTATTTGCTCATTCAGTTTCCATACTGCTAGCCTGCCTCTGTGCCACACAGCACACCGATGATTGGCAGTGCTGTATCTCACACGTCCCATGTCCAAACCATATTGCAATATCAACTCGGCATGCATGAGAACAAGATAAGACAGAAATGGGGTGTTGACATATCAGATTGCTTGTAAGATGGCTTGTTTGGAGAGGCTTGAATCTAAAATGAGCCCCATTGTTGAATGCTGGATTTGGTTGAGTCCACATTGGAAACTGATAGGAAGTGGTCACTGTGAAGGCCATTTCCTGCCTCTTTCCTTATGAATAGACTGAGCTCTACCCACTCCCTCATCTCCCCATCCTCTCCCCTGTCTGGCACACTGATGCATTTCCATATATTACTGCCTCTGTAAGCAAGTGTGTCATGCGCCCAGGCTTTTCCTACAGCCCAAGGGGACTTCTCAATGTCATTATCGCTAAAGCCTGCCACATGCCTGTAATGTATTGCCGCCTGGCTTTATTGGCAGCACGATGATTCAGTGGTGGTGATGATGGATTAGTGCCGGCTGGGTCTAGCTGGGCTGGGCTGAGCTGGTCCAGACTGGGCTGAGATCTGCAGCTTCGCTGTCTGTCGCATAAACACTGTGTGCTCCTCACGCCCTGCAGTATAGAGGGAGACATATCGTATTTATGTCACACACACAACCTAATGAATATGGTCATTTCAGTGCTTTTACGGAGCTTCTTGGCACATTGTCTGATTCATCTTGTCCACCTTTTGCTTTTCATGCAGACACGGTGCGCACAGCGGTGCTGCATAATAGGTGGCAGTAATGCATTCTCTTTATGACATTGTTACTGTTTTGAATGTGAAAATATAACAGCTTTTGTTGCCTCCTGGAACGGGAAGTTCAGAGAGGGTGCACCGGGTGCATACGTTACCGCAGAGTAACAAGGTCTGATGTTTCCAGGAGCGTATACACACACAGGGTTTAAAGGAAGGACACACAGTGGCATGTTTTATTACTGAATATGAAACACACTCGATATAACACAGCCATCCAGGCTGTACTAAACTAAATGTCACACTGGCCACCAACTAAAAGTCTAAACTCAACAGTCAGCTCTTGATTGCAGGCTTTTCAGTCTCTTGTGCTGCTGTACACTGTCACAGTGACCTGGCTCCAGACTCACTGCAGGGAAATAAGTGGACATTAGTCTTAATTTCTCACTGCGTGCTGCAGCAACTGGCCACCTTCACTGCCGCTGTTAACCTCACAAGGAACACACTCCTGTTGGTCGGTGTATTAGTTCACAGGAGTGTAACATACATCATGTATCAGCCAAGTACACAAGATAATCAGCATCAAATACAAAAGCATGAATGCTTCAAACAACATTCTCAGGGTTGTTATCAGTCCGTCTTTTCTCTTGGGGAATGTTTTGTCTAGTTTGTCCATCACTGACTGATACAATACACTGAATTTGTCTCATCCTGCAGTATTCCTCCCTTAAATTAGAAAGTAACAAAAGAGTCGAGTTTTTACTCTTCTAATTGTATCTCATTCGTGCAGTTCGTGATTGTATATGGAGCACTTTATTGTTTAATTTCTTATAAATTTGTTTCTCCATTTTAAACAGCTCCACATAATCTAGACTACATTCATTTAAAGCATGGAGCACACATCTGTATGCAAAATATGTGTTCATTACATTATCTCTGTTGCCAGTAATGAATTATACATTATCTCTTCCTATATTCTCATCTATGCTGCAATGTTTATCTAAAACAGTGACTCCAGGGTTAACAGACAATGATACTGATTCATTCTGCCTTTGGTCTTCAAAGCCAGTAGTACACATGGATGAGCTACCAATCCAACTCACACCGGAGACTATTTCCCACACATCTTACATACCTTAAGTATTTTATCCACCCATACCCATCCAGCTGCATGTTCCTGCATTGTCAGTCAACTGTATGTATGATAAGATGTGCTGGTAAGTCTTGGCTGTAGCTGTTAAATTTCTCTCCGCTGCCAGCGTTATTCAGATGTCCTTATCATTTTTAAGAAGCTTATTTGGCTGGTTCAATGATAAAAACTGGTAAAGTTTGGAATCCATCAGCTCCTCAGGTAAGTGGGTGCAAAATTGAGCTCACTTACCCTAAATACACACGCGCATGCACACATGCGTACCTGTGTATGCGTGCGTGCACACACACCCACACACACATACACACACACACACACAGGCACACATACTTAAGCACAGAGCTTCCAAATGGCCTCTATTAATGCAGACGGCTCTCCCAATTAACAAGATTCAAAGCGATGATGAATTTTTCATTCTCTGAACATTTAAGCTAATTATGGCCCAAATGAAGCAGGTTCCAGTGAATCACCATGGCAGGGGCTGCCAATGGCAGGCAATGTCACTGTCACAGTGCCACTCTGCACCACCACCCTAATCACTACAGCTGCTTAATATTCATCTCCCACTGCTCTCTTGTCGCCTCTCTCCTCTTGACTCACCTCTCCTCTCCTCACATATCTTCTTTTCTTTTCTCCTCCCTCCTCCTCATCTTACTTCTCACTCCTTTGCTCTTCTAACTTCAACTTCTCTCCCTTGCACACTGTCCTCCGTACCCTGTCTATTTCTCTCTCTCCACCTCAGTGTTGCTCCCTCACCATAGATGTGTTGTTTAAAATGAAAATCAACTAATTGCGCTAATAGCATTTTAATGATAATTTAATGTAGTAAATAAAGCTTGTTACAAGCTAAGCAATTTTGTTGGATTTCAAGGGCAATCAATCTGTGTCTGATACAATCTTCTCACCTCCTTGATGATGGGTGTAGTATGGCGGACTCTGCAGCGTGTTTTCACTCATGCAGGCTACATATCTAACTATATTCATGTCAGCTAACAATCTATAGATGCACAGAAATAGGCAGAACTAAGTAGGAAAACCTCCTCACTGCACACATTCAACCATCAATCTCACATTACTGTTTAAGACGTATGTTTTTCAGACCAGGGGTTTTCAAAGTCTTACACTGTGAATTTATGGACG